TTGATTTAGTTTAAGATATAACGATATAAAGAAAGACGGTATTGTTATCGAAGTTCCAGAATTCAAATATCGTACAACCCCGTTGCATTTTTACTTTAGGAACACTGTTGAGATTTGTTTATTTATTTCCGCTTATCATTTTTTCTATGAAAGTTATCAGAAATTACTTATGGAATGTGTTGTTACGTTAATAAAATAAACGTTGCATGTTTTGGCAGTGGATCGATGATCCTTAAATATTTGTTCGAAAACTAACTTATACACTTTACGACACCTAAACCGTTAATAGGGCGTAATCATTATGCCAAATAATGCAGAGTGTGTTAATGTGTCCCTTCGCACTGGGTACTTTACCGGTACGCATGCACAATACACTTTAAAATAAAGCTTATCAGTTGAAGGAAATCTATTTCTTTGAATACGTCTTGTAAACACCACAAGCGTGAATTACACTTGATAAATCTTTGTCACGGCACCAATTTGTCACAGGAAGGATAAACACAACTGGCCAGATCAGGCTTCTAACTTTAACTTACGAACCGAAGACGAATTTCTATCAACTTAGCTATTTTATTAACGGCGATCGGCTAATTGTAGTTTAACAATCATTTTACACTTTAAGAGAAATAAAGACAACACGTTTGTTTGCCCTTATTTAGCCATTTACCTTCGTAATTAAAAACTTGATAAATCTTAGTCACAGCACCGACTAGACATATTTTACTTGGAGTAGGAAATTCCAAAAACCGTACACACCTCTACCAATCAAGTTTTTTGAACTACAGAAATTGATCAAGTCTAGTTTAACTATAATTTAACAATAACTAGAACTTGGTGGAAGTTGCGTTTCCATTGTATTAAGTATACATATTTGTTGTTTTGATTCTGTCAGTAAGATGTTTGTAAACCATGGTGGTATATTGTTCGCTTTACCTGGAATGCGTACTCCATACACGTTGACATCTTGGACAAAGTCGAGTGCGCTAATGACGTCACAAACCTCTCGAGTAGAAACGTTTTCGCCTTTCCACCTGATGGAATCAAATCGTGATATCTCAAGCAATACCAACAAAAATGAACAATATTCCTGCCTTTGGTTTCCACGCAAATTTATTTATGACAAGACGTGGATGCAATTCATTTTATGTTGAAAAGAAGAATAAATTAAGCAACTTGGCATTATTCGCCTTAATCATTAAACAGATATGGAAGTCGTTAGCGCAATACACAGGGTGTTTGTCAACAACCTTATCTGGTAGAGTTATATTCCGAATTATTTCTGTATTGTATTCAGTCAATAGGATATATTTGATGTCATTCCACAGAGGACCTAATTTACCTGAACGTGTCCCCTACTCGATCACGGAAGTAGATATAATAGTCCTTGTCTAGGTATAACAGGTCTCCAAAATTGAAGAAACTGTCGCCTTCTTCGAATACATTTCTAAGAATTTTCTTTTCGCTCAGTTTTTCGTCACCCTTATAGAAGCCGGTGTACGTTGGTGGTATTGGGGTTATCAACAAGCCCTGTTCACCTGTGTTTGTAAAAGATAAAACATGTAATTTCCCTCTTTGGCAATCCTTGATGAAGGTAGGAATAATATAAATAAAAAATAAACGGGACGCACGCCTTCTGGTATTTTTGAACATTTTCATCAGCGATAGCGTTATATTCTTAGTACGTTGTGTTGAAGAGTTCAAGTGCATCTCTTATAATGTAGAATGTAAGAAGATTTTGTAAACTATTGCTGCAAGATCAACCATACACCGAAATGTTTTTGTTACATTAAGGTGGGTTTTTTTTTGCAGGAAGGGTTTTCAATATGTAACCACTAAATTGCGTTTTTTTGTAATTATTGGTTACACGCAACAATTGATTTATAAACACTTTGAGATTGTTTTGCATTAAGGAATACAAGTTTAAACCTTAACATATATTTCTTAACGTTAAGCGATTTTTATTAGGGAGTTTAGCCTATCTATTCGCATATGAAAACAAGAGATATTTGTTTACATCAAAAATAAGGATTGTAAGCTCGTAGCTTAATATATAAATGTTCCATATTAAAAATGTTTTACACTTATGCTAACGTCACTCCTAAGCCATCACGAAACCCTCAATGGTTGCCCCAATAGGCAATATGCAATATATTAACCTTCAATGTAAAAATAATCAATGTACAATGAGGAGTGCTACTGTACCCTTGATGAGCCATTTTATAATTAGGTGTCAAACTGTAGTCAACATTAACATAACATTTCTTTTCGGTTGAAACTGACCGTTATAAAACGAAGAGTTCATTTACCACATTGCATCAAACTGTTACGTACAATTATATCGTAAACATTACCTTTTCGTTCGTTTATTGTCGTTTCCTTTATTTTATGCTATTTACTTTTTACTAACTTCTTTTTGTGTCTATGTGCCGATAAGATTCCATTAATAAAATTAATGATACAGAATACATTTTTCAAATGTGTTTTAAAATCATATTCAAGCGACTTGATGATTTTTCAGTAAAAGCAAGCTTTGCATCCTAGGTTTTACAACATATATATTCTGTACAATAAGAAATATGTATAAGATCGACTGCTGTTACCGCGGGCTTCTTGATGATACTTAATTATCAAATTTTAACTCAAACTCGATATCTTGGAAATATATGCCGAAATATGAAAACATGTACTTGTAATGAATCTGAGGATGATGCACTCGAATTTAAGTACATGCATATTCTGTGTCCAGGATTATCATTTGTGACAAAAGCAAAAACAAAACTAAAATATTTCTAGAAATTGCTACGTTAAATGGCTTTGACTTTGATAAAGAGCCTCGTTCGTTATACGTTACCTGGTTTGACTTTGATACAGCGGCCTCGTTTACCATACCTTACCTGGTTTGACTTTGATACAGCGGCCTCGTTTGTCATACCTTACCCGGTTTGACTTTGATAAAGAGCCTCGTTCGTTATACGTTACCTGGTTTGACTTTGATACAGCGGCCTCGTTTGTTAAACCTTCCCTGGTTTGACTTTGATACAGCGGCCTCGTTTGTTTTACCTAACCTGGTTTGATTTTGATACAGCGGCCTCTTTTCTTAAACCTTACCTCGTTTGACTTTGATACAGCGGCCTCGTTTGTCATACCTTACCTGGTTTGACTTTGATACAGCGGCCGCGTTTGTTAAACCTCACCTGGTTTGATTCTGATACAGCGGCCTCGTTTGTTAAACCTTACCTGGTTTGACTTTGATACAGAGGACACGTTTGTTAAACCTTACCTGGTTTGATTCTGATACAGCGGCTTCGTTTGTCATACCTTACCTGGTTTGACTTGGATACAGCGGCCTCGTTTATCGCGGATTGGTGTGTCCTCGATCGGGTCATATTGTACAATGAAAGTGTCTTTGAACTCCGTACTGGCCCAGCGCTGCCAAATATAAGTACTTACATAAGTATAAACTAGTTCTCAATATCAAATTGAAACTAAAACAAAATCGTACATATAAACATACACATGCATGTGTATTACCCGAGATTTAACAGAAGAAAAATATAGAATTTGAAGAGCATTAGGGCCATGTAGAAAAAAAAGTGAATTTTCTTTTTATCATATTATTAACTCGAAATCTGAAGATTATAACTCGAAATTTTAAGATAATAACTAGAAAATTCAATATAAGGATTTTCATATAGTGGGGCGACATTACGTTGAGCCACACTTTTAGGAAGGATGTCAAGGGGCGAAGCCTCGGTTGGACTAAGAGGGGAGGGAGGGAGGGAGAGGCTGTAGCTGTAGAAATATAAAGAAATTAATATTTTATTTCAATATGAAATGAAACCGGATTACCCAGAGAAAAACTGCGTGCTCGGGCAGGCGACCCTATACCTTTATCACGTCCGATCGGGGAATCGAACCCCGGTCGCCTTGGTGACAACCCTAACACCCATAATTGGTTGAAAATATTACAATGAGATTGAAAAATTACCATTTGCATCATAATAAACCTAACGCGAGAAGGAAACACGGTAACATGGTGAAAATATTAGTATGAAGAAAAACTCTACCACGACGGAGCTTTCTTACAATGAAAGGTAAACTCTTCAATAGGAGGCAAACTATACTATGTGATGAATATATATATATATATATATATACATGTATAACAATATAAGTGAAATATCGACATTAAAAGAAATTCTCACCATGAAAGGTGAAAGACGTCCACATGCTCCAACTTTGTTTGTAATATTCAGTAATGCTCCTGTGGCTTCCGTGGCGCCGAATATTTCAATAATCCAAGGAATGTTGAAGCGTTTCTGGAAATCTGTCCAAATGTCCTGTCTGAGACCATTTCCGAACGCCACTCGAATCTTGTGGACCGGGTCGAGTGGAGTCTGTAACAAAGTAAGTATATTTCCAGTGGTCCTTCATGCTATTTAATTGTATGCTAAATCCAACATTGACCTTGATTTTCAAATTGATCCCATTAACACTTTGATTGGGACAAATTTACTATATGGTGTTGAAGTATTTTATTACAAAAAGTAACAGTAATACGGTAATAATTTTCTAAACTGTGATTATAACCAATGCGCATGTTTGGAGTCTTTGCACAAGTCCTGAAATTTAATGTTATTGTTTAAAAAAAGTAAGAAATGAAAACAGAATTTTTTGAGAAAAAAAATGAAAAAATGGCTATTTTATTTTTATTTTCATATATTTGTGAAATTAATGTTGCTATACTGTCAAAGTTTTGAAGCAATCAAAACCAGCAATATGAAACTTTTAAAGTAATAAAATTAACCTTGTTATGTAGGAATAAATATAAACGAACCTTGGTATGTAGGAATGACTAAATTAAACTTGTTATGTAGGAACAACAAAATTAACCTTGTTATGTAAAATAACAAAACTAACCTTGTTATGTAAAATAACAAAATTAACCTGTGATAAAGAAAAACAAAATTAACCTTGTGAGGTAGCAAGAACAAAATTAACCTAGTAATGTAGCAATAACAAAATAAACCTTGTAATGTAGCAATAACAAAATTAACATTGTAATGTAGCAAAACAAAATCAACCTTGTAATGTAGCAATAACAAAATTAACATTGTAATGTAGCAAAACAAAATCAACCTTGTAATGTAGCAATAACAAAATTAACCTAGTGACGTAACAATAACAAAATTAACAATGTTATGTCGCATTAACAAAATTAACCTTATTATGTAGGAAAAAAAATAAAAAAAATACCTTGTTATGTAGAATAACAAAATTAGCCTTGTGATGTAGCAATAACAAAATTAAACTTGTTATGTAGCAATAACGAAATAAACCTCGTAATGTAGAATAACAAAATTAAACTTGTTATGTAGCAAAACAAAATTAACCTTGTGATGTAGGAATAACAAAATTAGCATTGTAATGTAGCAATAACAAATTAAACTTTTAATGTAGCAAAACTAAATTAACCTTGTAATGTAGGAATAACAAAATAAAACCTGTTATGTAGTTATCACAAAGTTAGCCTCGTAATGTAGGAATAACAAAATGAAACTTGTTATGTAGCAAAACAAAATTATCCTTGTAATGCAGCAATAACAAAATTAACCTTATCATGTAGCAAAACAAAATAAACCTTTTAATGTAGCAAAAAAAAATTAACCTTGTAATGTAGCAATTACAAAATTAACCTTGTTATGTAGCAATAACAAGATTACCCTTGTTATGTAGCAAAACAAAATTATCCTTGTGATGTAGGAATAACAAAATTAGCATTGTAATGTAGCAATAACAAATTAAACTCTTAATGTAGCAAAACTAAATTAACCTTGTAATGTAGGAATCACAAAATAAAACCTGTTATTTAGTTTTCACAAAGTTAGCCTCGTAATTTAGGAATAACAAAATGAAACTTGTTATGTAGCAATAACAAAATAAACCTAGTAATGTAGAATAACAAAATTAAACTTGTTATGGAGCAATACCAAAATTAACCTTGTAAAGCAGCAATAACAAAATTAACCTTGTTATGTAGGAATAACAAAATTAATATTGTGACGGAGCAATAACAAAATTAACCTTGTTAAGTAGCAATAACAAAATTAACCTCGTAATGTAGAATAACAAAATTAAACTTGTTATGTAGTAGTCATATAATTAACCTTGTTTTGTAGGAATCACAAAATTAAACTTGTTATGTAGCAAGACAAAATTAACCTTGTGATGTAGGAATAACAAAATTAGCATTTTAATGAAGCAATAACAAAATTAAACTTGTCATGTAGTAGTCATATAATTAACCTTGTTTTGTAGGAATCACAAAATTAAACTTGTTATGTAGCAAAACAAAATTATCCTTGTGATGTAGGAATAACAAAATTAACCTTGAAATGTAGCAAAACAAAATTAACCTCGTAATGTAGAAAAACAAAATTAAACTTGTTATGTAGCAAGACAAAATTAACCTTGTGATGTAGGAATAACAAAATTAAAGTTGTGATGTAGGAATAACAAAATTAGCATTGTAATGTAGCAATAGCAAATTAAACTTTTAATGTAGCAAAACTAAATTAACCTTGTAATGTAGGAATAACAAAATAAAACCTGTTATGTAGTTTTCACAAAGTTAGCCTCGTAATGTTTGAATAACAAAATGAAACTTGTTATGTAGCAATAACAAAATAAACCTCGTAATGTAGGAATAACAAAATGAAACTTGTTAAGTAGCAATAACAAAATTAACCTCGTAATGTAGAATAACAAAATTAACATTGTGATGTAGCAATACCAAAATTAACCTTGTAATGTAGCAAAAAAAAAATTAACATTGTAATGTAGCAAAACAAAATTAACCTCGTAATGTAGCAAAACAAAATTAACCTCGTAATGTAGCAAAACAAAATTAACATTGTGATGTAGCAATACCAAAATTAACCTTGTAATGTAGCAAACACAAAATTAACCTTGTTATGTAGCAATAACAAAATAAACCTCGTAATGTAGAATAACAAAATTAAACTTGTTATGGAGCAATACCAAAATTAACCTTGTAAAGCAGCAATAACAAAATTAACCTTGTTATGTAGGAATAACAAAATTAATATTGTGACGGAGCAATAACAAAATTAACCTTGTTAAGTAGCAATAACAAAATTAACCTCGTAATGTAGAATACCAAAATTAACCTTGTAATGTAGCAATAACGAAATTAACCTCGTAATGTAGAAAAACAAAATTAACCTTGTGTTGTAGGAATAACAAAATTAACCTCGTAATGTAGAAAAACAAAATTAAACTTGTTATGTAGCAAAACAAAATTAACCTCGTAATGTAGAATAACAAAATTAACATTGTGATGTAGCAATACCAAAATTAACCTTGTAAAGTAGCAATAACAAAATTAAGCTTGTTATGTAGCAAAACAAAATTAACCTCGTAATGTAGCAAAACAAAATTAACCTCGTAATGTAGCAAAACAAAATTAACCTCGTAATGTAGCAAAACAAAATTAACATTGTGATGTAGCAATACCAAAATTAACCTTGTAAAGCAGCAATAACAAAATTAACCTTGTTATGTAGCAATAACAAGATTACCCTTGTTATGTAGCAAAACAAAATTATCCTTGTAATGCAGCAATAACAAAATTAACCTTATCATGTAGCAAAACAAAATAAACCTTTTAATGTAGCAAAAAAAAATTAACCTTGTAATGTAGCAATAACAAAATTAACCTTGTAATGTAGGAATCACAAAATAAAACCTGTTATGTAGTTTTCACAAAGTTAGCCTCGTAATGTAGGAATAACAAAATGAAACTTGTTATGTAGCAATAACAAAATTACACTTGTAATGTAGAAATAACTAAATTAACCTAGTTATGTAGAATAACAAAATTAATCGTGTGACGTAGCAATAACAAAATTAATCTTGTGATGTAGCAATAACAAAATTAACCTTGTAATGTAGGGATCACAAAATTAACCTTGTTATGTCGCAATAACAAAATAAACCTAGTGACGTAGCAATAACAAAATTAATCATACTAAGTCAATAACAAAGTTAACAAAAATAGTTTTTTTTATGTAGCAATTGCAAAATCGACCTTGTTATGAAGCGATAACAAAATTAACCTTGTTATGATGCAATAAAATTATCGTTCTTATGTAGTTATAATCAAAACACGGAACATTTGATTAAAACTGCTTAAATAATACAGCAACGGTTGAGTTTACACAAATCTGTGATATAATCAAGAAGAATTGGGCACAAGTTTTATAACCTTTCAGACGTCCTGTTCCTGATAAATAATATACAAAGGTTTGATGATAACAGCAGATACATGGTGATCTTAAAATACTTTGGAATAAAATAAAAAATAAAAAGTTATCTGTTACAGTACCCAAAAGATGAGTTATTTACTTAAATGAATTTGTGAAGTTGGTATTGCCAGTTAAACAACAAAATATTTTGAACGAAAATGTAAATAAATACTATAACAATATAATATTCAAATTAATGCAATTTAAAGTAACAATTATTTAAACAATTAAATTTCAGTAATGTAATGAACCTCCTCCAATCAACTTATCCCGTTGTAATTCTTCTAATCAAAATCATTTGGCACAGACAGATGCTAATGATACAGACAATAATACAGATAGTTAATAAACTAAACATTGAAAACCAGTGTATATATGGCAAGCTAACTAAATTACTATCTAGATAATACTTAAACTACTACATATGTATCTTATTATATCGCCATAGTGATATGTAACAAACTATTCTGCAGAAAATTCGAGATTTCATTGAGACATACTCATACATTTGTTAATATTTTTTAGAGTTTTTTATGACATTAAAATATCTCTGTTGAGAATTTTTAGAGTTTATTATGACATTAACATATCTCTGTTGAGAATTTTGAGAGTTTATTATGACATAAACATATCTCTGTTGATAATTTTTAGAGTTTATTTAAGCAACGGATGTTTTAGAAAAAATCCTATTGGTATTAATGAGAAAACTAAATAAAGACCGGCAGGGCTTTATGTAAATTTGTAAGCAATATAAATGAGAGTTCGAGGACCATAACGATATTTGCTAAAATATTCATTATTTATATTTACATTTTTAGATAATAGTTATGCACAATTTAGTTATTTTGAACAGTTCTCTGAACAGTAAATTAAGTCTTGACAACAATGAAATTGGTGACGACACAATAGGAGATTGATGACGTTACATTAGCAAATGGTGTTATAGTTTCATAACAACATTTGCCTTCTCAATATATTGTAACGGAAGGAGGCAGATCATTTGTAATTATTGTGACATAAACAAACATTTGAATGGAATTTTTAGAGTTTATTGTGACATAATCAAATTTCTGCAGATAAGTTTTAGAGTTTATGTGACATCAATATACCAATTCAGAGAATTTTGAGGGTGTACGGTGACATAAACATACCTCCGGAAGTGCCATAATGTAACGAAAGAGTTCTCCGATATACTGTATGACCGTGACGTCATGCCTCCGGCAGTCCTCGAAAAAATGGCTGGCAGAAAACTTTTTACGTAACACCATTGTAGCTCCTGTAAGTTAACGAAACGGAATCATTCAATAATAAAAAACTAAACATTATATCATCGCAGTAATTAAGATCATTTAGATCATGACTCAGAATAAAGATTGAACCAATATGTAGAGCAATATTACAATGGATTCACCATTGAAGGTTAGGGAATGAGAAAAGAGTACACCTGCTGTTACCCACTGTATGATTGGAGGAATTGGGGGTTTGCGTTGGTGCCATTTACTTGGGGACACGAAGGCGACCAAACTTAATCTGCCACAGCCATTACACTATTTTGGACATTAATGGTTCTCTCTACTTCTAACTGTATTTTGTTTCCTAAGGCCTTGCTTGGCAATGCTTCAAATTTGGCTTTAAACATTCGTGATGAACATTTGCCTAATTTTGAGTCAAGGCAACAACTGGGAAACCCGTTGTCAGTATTATGTGACCGTGTGGAATGCCTAGCTGGTGTTTTCGACATCGCATTTCAGTGAGGTAGCACTATAAAGTCGGCATCAGGTCTGCGCTATCGCAAGGAGGTAATAAAATCGGCATCCCATGCCTCCAGCATATATACACACATGCATGTATTCATAACACGCATGGAAGCACGTCCCCATTTGAGTCCCTTTGCGTTGAATAAATCTTTCTGAACACCTTTAATAAACCCTCTTTTCCAGCTACCTCATAGATAAAAAAAAGATAGTTGTCTAACGAGGCTACCTACTGTTCAAACTCTATGATTCAAGGCCTCTTAAAACTTGAGAAGAAGATTTTTGAAGTTCGTAAACCGTAAAATCATTTTTTTTTTTTAATTAACACTTACCGAAAACTAAAATATGACTTTTGATATTAAAATGATGATCTCCATACCATAAGTAGATCTAGGTCATTATTTTCATAAAATTGGCAGCCATTTATCCCAGCATTGAACTTAAAAAGATTTGTTTAAAAATCTTTTATCAAAAACAGCACATTTGAACTTGGCCTCCTTCAAGAAAAAGACCACCAGAGAAACAGGTGTTCAAATTCAGTAGAAATATGAAACGTTTAAAAAGAGAATGTCGTTTTTTTCACAAGGATCAAAGGAAAAACAAATGGCGTTTGACGATATCGGTGAATGTTTCACGATATATATATAATAATAATAATAATAAAGGCTTTATTTATTCTTGATAACATATTAAGCATGAAGCTCATCTTACATATGGTCAAGATACAATGTATGATAAAGTGAACAATACTTACAGCTTTAATAAATATACATGTATAAAATACAGGATAAGGGAGGAAATCATAAATCATTTCAAGTAAAATTGCTTTGCAGATCTCTTAAATTCTAAAATGAAGTACAATTTCCAATGTGACTTGGTAAAAGATTCCATGTAAGGGGTCCCTGATATTTAAAAGATTTTCTAAAAATGTTTGTCTTATGACATGGCAAGTAAAACATATTGGTAGATGATGATCTTGTAGTTCAATCCTGAACATCAGACATATACGTAAAATCATTCAAATTTTGTGGAGCTAAATTATTAAGTATGAAGAATGAAGCTATGAAGAATGAAGACATCAAATTCATATAAGCAATACGTGTATATACAGAAAAAAATAGCTCAACATACTGTATGGTTACATATTTAAGCAAGCACAAATTTTAGTATATTATCGAATATTAACGGATAAGCTCATTGATGAGTTTGCGTACTTACAATATCAGCAATAGAAAACTTAATATAGCGCGATCGTAAATTAGCGCAATTTTTAAAGAGCGAAAGTGCTAAAATTAGACTATTGATGACGTATATGCGTTCACATTAGGCGAATTGGTGTCTGTATCAGCCATCATACCTACCGGTATAAAATGTGTTGAAGAGGCAGAGAAGCGTGGCGGCGCTGTGGTAGAGAGGTGTGACGATGTATACGACGTCAGAAGGGCTGTAGTCTAAAATACTATAAGTAACAGACACACCGATAGACTTGGCATGGTTGATGATCGCTGGCTTCGGGAGTCCTGTCACGGAACACAAATAAGCATGTATACGTATCTGAGGTGACTAGGCCTACCATTTAAATGGCCGAAGTCAATAAGCATGCATTTATGAATAGCAATTATAAATATAACTGTATCATTTCTTCAAATCATTCCTGATTCGGATGTTTGAGAATGCAAAAATAAATGTGAAAAATTAAAATTGATAGGTTTGTTCCCAATTTAAAACTTTCACTGCATTTTGATTTGTCTAAACTGTTAATGGGAAAACCAACAAATCTGATATTGAATCTAGCTTAATTGAATAGCATTTTCGCCAAGTTACAACGATAAAGCCGTGAACATTTTGAACTATTCAGTATAGATAAATACAACTACAAAAACAACTCTGTATGAATCAGTCGGATCTATAAAAAAGATTGTTTTCTGAACAGAAATATCCATAACCACTATGTATGGTATCATGAACACCAATTTATTTTCAAAGGTACCGCGGACGTGTACGTGTATGTACCCATGACACATTAAGGAGTAAATATATTCCCGCTAAAACGAATGTGATCTGCAGAATGTTGGAGGTGTTACCTGTTGTTCCTGACGTGTATATAAAACACATCGGTGACATCAGATTCACGTGAGATCTGACGGATTTACAGACATTCGTTGGCAGTGTACGTAAAATGGCGTCATCAAACGACAGCATGCCCGGTGGTAGGGTCTCCTGGGCCCTGCCCTGGACGTAGATCGGTACGGCTGGCAGCCCTTCCCTGACCTCCATAATGGAGTCCAGCAGTTCATCACCTGTCAGGTCAAGATAACAGAACAAGTAATGTCAGAATACAGACTGTAAATTACTGAATCATGTATGCTAGACAACCTACATGTACCAAGGCCCGTATTCATAAAACCGTTCTCCTGCTCAAGCATGGATTCTGTGCTCAAACCAGCTGTCTTGTAACTCATTTAAATCATATAAAACACTCAAACAGCAATCATAAACATTTGAAACAGTATTCCGCCTAAAGTTGCTTCATTTTCCCCAAATCATTGAACAAATAAAGTTATTTTATTTACTTATAACTGAAACAAGAAATTAGGCTTGAGCACAAAATTAATGCTTATCGGTATAATGAATACAGGGCCAGGTCATATTATAAACCCTGAATACTGTGCACTGGACATAAAACAATATGCCATTACCGAAGTGTAGACAAAACCGTGATTCAAATTCAAAATTGATGAAAGTATTGCAAAATAAAGACAAAATAAATATTTTACACAAAAACCATAGTGATAGAAGGCTGTAAATCTAGGTCAAATTCTAAATTCACGCCATCAAAGTGGGAATCTGACACGACGGAATCATAAAACAAACTTTAAGCATGATAACGAAAGTCGACCTCCATACTGCAGTTTCATATCGATTTCTCTGATAAGATCATGATGATAACGACCATACAAATGCTCAGAGTCATCATCCACATGCATCTCTCGAAGTCTCATATTACAAGTTTGTCCGTTAGCCAGTGATATGTATCGCCAATATCGTAACATTCGGAGCATGCCCATAATTTACGAATCAGCTATTACACTTAAGGTTGAGGTGTAGGGATGCTTCTGTCAAGAAAGGGAAAGCCAACACTTCTTCAAACTCTGTTTTCTGATTGGACAAGACGGGTGCTGTAAACTAGCTTTTTATTTGGTCGAAATTCAGATAAAACTGAATAGTGTCCGATTTCGATCAAACTTGTTTGTTTGTGTTTAATTGAACTACAAACACTCCTGTAATCTCTCTTTTGCGATTGGACATTACATCACCTAACCACCCCAACGATACCTACATAGAGGCCCCTGCAATAACATCGCCTATATACCTCCTCCATATACACCGTATATCGATAAATATTCGCCCTTCACCGGTATACTGAATATTTCTCGGTATACGGTAAAGAGGGGCTGAGGTGGCCAAGTGGTTAAGGTTTCTGACACTAGCACTCCACTACTGGGTCGCAGGTTCGAGTCATACGTGTGGCAGTCGACAGGTACTGGCCGTAGGTCGGTGTTTTTTCTCCGGGAACTCCGGCTTTCCTCCACTACCAAAATCTGGCACCATAGATGATAATAGGATGTTAAACACAAATAAACCCTTTGCCGGTGAAGCACACATCTAACCAGTTTTTATTTCCCCTTCAAATGCAACTTATGCACGCCCCTATTGAGATAACACTACCTAACGAACCCTATCGTCCATACATACCGGCTCCTACTATGATGACCTTGGCTTCGCTGATGTTCAAGGAGTGTAACAACGGTTTCGCCGTCAGATGGTAGTTGATGAAAGCATCCGATAGTCCAACCTTCAGAAGTCCTACGATTCAAATTGCATATATTTACATTTCCACTGCAAATTCCTATCTATGACCACAATTCGATCAGTGTCGTTTTGACGCGTCTCCCCTGGTCTCGATAAACATGAGACAACCGTTAGAATTAAACATTTTGGTGCCGTAAGGCTGTTCCAGGAATTTTGTTTGAGTTGACCACACAAACACTTCAATTTCGAAAATATAAGAGAATTTCTTTATTTAGGCCAATAATATCTAAATATTTAGATTGTAAATATAAGTAATGAACGGCACTAGCGGGCTTCATGGAATGTGTATGTAACCGATTTGCGTTCATACCTGCATGAAACTGAAAATAAAATGCCGCTCGATCCTTATATGAAACATAAGCTTCTCTTCCTAAGTATTGGATATCATACATTTAAAACAGAATCATTTCCTTTTGTGTATAATATTGTGAGCATGAAATATAACATTTACTATAATTAAAGAAAACAAAATTTCGATTTTGGTACCATTTGAATAAATTAACGAAATATCTTCATCCTTAAATTTAATTAATTTAACACTGTGTAAATGTGATGTTAATATACCAGAAGAACGTATACATACAAGTCATTGTACGAGATTGCACACGTGTTTGGTAAGGTAATTTTCACACTCGCAATAAAAACTATACAAATAGTACCAAGACATAGTGGTAAACTCGTACACACATGTAAGCCCAGGATGAATATTATGTTATTATTAGAGGACACGAATGAGGATTTCCAGGAACGAAATGTCTGTAAACATAAAGTGTTAGTTACTCACCCAATAATGTCCAAACGAAAGCCGCTTCGTTGTAGATCATTGTGGCTATTGTGGAGCTAGGTTCAAGGTTCCAGGTCAGAGCGAGGCTGGCCACGCGGTTGGCCATGGCGTTCACGCATTCGTAGCTGTACTGTTTATCCTCGTGAATAATGAAAGTCTTCTTTGGATCCCTGGCCACGTGGTCCTCAAAAACGTCGACAAGAAATTGTCCGGTCATAATTTGCTGACCGGCAATCTTTGCTACCCGGCTTGTTCTTCTAATTGTCTGAACGCGAATAAAGACAAAACAAAGGTATCAACTAATATTAAAAATTGATATATAATTAATATTTCTTCTCATACAACGATGTAGACGTAAAAAAATATTTATGACGTCAGTTTGCTTGTTCCATGCTCCATTTGAACAACAAAAATGATCATTTAAATCCATAACCGGGTATTTTATGTAAAGGGATTCACTTACACAAGAATTCGCTTCTAATTAATGTGTTTTAATCAATTGAATGATACTTGGTATATGAAAATCACATACATGTATATATTTTTTCCTTTCTGGACATTCTTGAGGGTCACGTTTTGAAGATCTTATAGGCCAACATGTATGAAACTTAAAACTTATAAATTAAACTGACCGCCATGTTAACAAAATAGTGTGCCAAATGAAGGTATGGGGATTTCCCCCTTGGTGTCAGATCCGAAGCTGTTTCGAGAAGCTGAACCTCAATTCTACTTTCGAGCGTAAAATTTCCTTATCCACATGCCTACATAATGACTAATTCTAAGTCGGTAATTAGGTAAACATCGACCATTAGATTGCGAATGCAACAGTAAATATTGCAGATTTTCTAGAAAACGTACACACAATCAAAGAAGATGTTTGGAGAGATCAGGAAAATATGATTTGTTGGAGTTATAACTTAAAAGTTAAAGCAGTTTGCAAAAGCTTTAAAACCATAAATAAATGAGGTGTTGTCAAACAAAGGATCACCGGGTGCGCCTTTGTGAAAAAGTTTACCTGCATTGGTTTTTCAGAACGGAAACGAGAATCTTGATTTCGACAAAATATTATCGTAGTATCCACAAAACCATAACTCGAATTAAAAATTGATAAAACTAGGGCACAATATGGACAAAGGATACCATTGAAATAGTACAAGGGGAATAAACCAGATGTCATGTCCGGTAGGATAAGTCTCTTCTGTTCTTCGATGAAACCCGCCATGTTAGTCTAGGTCACTACCAGTAATGCCACGTCCTCACATCGAGAAATAGGGTAGTGACAGCAAAACTACAAGGCACTCTAATGAGCATAAAAATGAATCATTTACCTTCCTATCACAGAAACCGGACATCATCATCAAAACAAAAAAGGCAAAATTACATAACCGGACTTGCTCACCTTGATGTCATCCACTATGTAAGGAAATAAAGTCTTCCATGCCAACAGCGCTGTGGTTGTTGTTCCCGCTACCGCTCCGAGCGCTATCTCCTTTGGTGTCGGCATCTTTGTGTTAAATGGTTAGGTTCAGCAAACCAATGTCTCCAAAATCTCCGAGTAAACCTGCCTGAAACGTATGATGCAAAATTGTCATACTATGTACGTATTCTAATGCAGCTTGACAGATGAATGAACATGTCGATATCTAAAGGTGAATTATGTTTAATGACACTGATATATGTTTACATTACCTTTGTACAGTCCTTTGATAAATCTACCAACTTAATCAAATAATAATAATTAAATACGTGCAAGACCTTTACACACGAATGCGTTCCAATCGGAAACTGTTCGAGTATTTCCGTTAAATTGTCTCAGTAATCGGGGACCAATTATGACGTGACGTCAAAGTCCATTAGGAACACCTCGCCCCGATTACAGTTCCTTCCAACAATTGTTAGATGACCGAATCGGCCGAGAAGTTCCAAGTGGTCAAAGTCATATGATGGCGGAAAATTTCGAATGGATTTCTACTGGTGTTCGTAGCCTGATGGAGCTGTCAACGTTGAAAGAATGATACTGTTCCCGCAAAATAAAGGCTTCTCTTCCAAATGATAAAACAGTTAAAATGGGAATCACAAACAACGAGAAAATAATAATCATGTTTTGGATGTAAATAGAATGCAACATTAATAAAACACGTACAGTTCCGTTCAAACACATTTTCCAATATGCCCTAACGTAACTAGTGTTTACTTTAGGCTTATCCGATGAACGATGTAATTTTTATCCTTAACAACCGGTAATGACGGTAATGAATACACAGCAATCTCACATGATGGTGTTTGAAGATAGCGTGCAGCCTAACTCATAACTAAATTCTCTCTCTGTATATATATAGCATGTACAAATCGAGGTCAATTAGGAATAACAATGGCGTATACAGTACACTTGTCAGGGTTGTGGTCGCACCAGTAAACACAGACTGACACATACTTCCCGCCCGTACCTAACGGTACATAATCCTAAAACTTACATCACAATTAGACCTGTCGTGAGATATTAATATACAACTTACTGTCCTTCAAAAAAAAAACCCCAGCAATACGTGACAAGATAACTCAGTACTGAGAAAAGTAGATTGGTTTCCGTTGGCAATTGTTTGCTACATTTGAAAGGTATTTAGGAACGCAAATGACCTAATAAACTTCTGGTTGATATATTACTCAACTGCCAACAATATAGAGAACTGTATCTTTATAGAAATTATATACTATTTTATTGCAAAGTTACGTATTTGATTGAAATAAGTTACAATTTATATTATATTTAGATAGAAATACATGATAGACAATGTATTTAGATCAAAACCAATGTTCACAGAATGTTTTGCCATTACAGAAAGCAATGTATACGTTATAGTTACAAAATGATACTGAAAGTTGTCAAAAATATGTTCTGTAATGAAATTTTGCTGAACCTAATCAGGTATTTACATATAACTATCGATAAGATCACCAAGCTGTATGGAACAACAGATGATTGGTGTTGCAATTAAGTTGAATATAGTAGTAACTGGCACTTTCTTTAACCGTCAACACGGTAATAAAATAACTTCCGCAGCCACAACTTAAACTATAACCAGAAAAGCAGACAAATACCCTCCACCTACGCAAAGAAATGAAAGAATAGTTCTTTAGAAAAAAAAGGGTTAAACAAAGGGGTTTACTTCAAAAAGGGAAGATGTCTTCATGCCGTTTGTGTCAGGATTTTGTACAAAATAGTTTGTACTTTGGGAGGAGTAGCGCGAACAACGGATTACTAATATAAGTAAGGGAGGTAACTCTTACTTCTATAATTTACTTCCCCTACAGTACAGTACTGCCATTCAAATTTAAATTCGAAATGGTTTATTCACACCCTCTTACTGCTATATGATCATTTGAATCAATGTTATGCATATGAATGAGTAGTGCGAACAATGTTTTTTAAACAATGGTGTGTAACTTTATAACTAGGAGACGTAACTTCAAAAGTTATGTACTTTGTTTTATTTCCCCTTAAAGTAAGTCTTATGCGTATCAATTGCAAGTGTTTGCCTGGTTTAAATACAGGGCTACAGCTGTGTGTTATCCCATTACCCTGTCAGCTGTTAGTGTCCCCATACCAATTAAAAGATAACAGTTTCATATCACAACACCAGACATCTACACACCACGTGCACACTGATGATAGCGACATGGATCAATCTAGCTGTGTAAATCATGAGTTATTTGCACATGCGTAAACTATCATCGTCCAATAACATCCGGAATCTCGTGTCTGATGACCGTGAGGTCCACACAACAAGCTTGTTTCCCCATCCCTCTGAAATCAAATGTGTGTCATATGTTTCAAAAATAAAAGACTGGTTAAACTTAACTATCACGATCTTATAAATAAAAATAAGAATAATACTAATCTTTATTTAAACTTGATTACATATTGAGTCAAAGACTCGTCTCCCATATGGTCAAGCATATTGAAAAATGTACGTTATATATAATCATTGTTGATGATTATTTGTTATTCTCAATGTCAAAGTGTTACAACAGTGGGTCGTGGTACGTACTTAAAAACACTTATCTAATAACACATTCACGAATCCTTTATCGTTCTCCCTGCGTTGTTCTATAAACAAATATATCAAGAAAGAAAAACGCTTTACGCGTGTCGGCCGAGTTTGTCCCGTGTTGGCCCATTCGGTCGATATTTGCCTTGTTCCGTCCGTCGTGGTTCAGATTTGCAGTTTCATAGTGGGGAAGATTTTAATTGTACTACCAATGTGTAAGAGGTAATGAATAAATACAACTTTAGGGAATATTTTGTTAGTGTTTTGAGTAAAATTATTCTATTCTATTTCGATGAAACCAGAATTTTCTTTTCCGGTTGCACGCCCCCTAGCAAAATTAAGGAAAAGTGGCATGGCCGCCGTTGCTTACATGATAACTCATTTACATGATCAACAGTTGATTTCGGCGTTATAGACACGCTACACCACTTGTCATCAAATCCGTTTATCTCAGGTATCCATTTGGGTGTTTAAGGTAATAGGATTGTGTCGCCATTTCTCAATAGAATTTCTTCAAATTTTGTAGTTATATTGCTTTAAAGTAAAGAAAAGTTTCTGCCACAAAAAAAAAAAAATATAGGCTGTCAGAATTTTACACTACAATTGACTCATTCTGTACAAATAATTAACATTAGTTAAGCTTAGGCCAGCCATTATATACACGTGAGAACTTGAAGATACCCCAAAACAATGAAATTGAAATTCAATCCTTAACGTGTCAGCATATATTATCAATATTAATTAATATTCGGGTATATTGATTTGGAGAAAATGTCTTGATACATGTAACAAAACAAAATAATCTTGGCAATGTTTGTTACGTAGTAACATATGCATATATATGCTCACCTGTATTACGGGTTACACTAAATGGAATCTAAATGGAATCTGTATCTGGAAGCCCGGGCATTGCAATTATAAATTGGTCGTTATATCGGACCCATATTGTTTCATGTGGTTTTAAAAGATGTTATCATACGGCCATCTTTTCCGCCTTATATATTGAAAAGTAATTCAATTAACGTGTCTATGTTGTAGGTAAAATAGCAGTTTAAATTCTGGGTCTTGTTCTCATTTCTAATTAAGATATAAACATCATACCTGCATGCATCATGAAAATGTATGAATGCGAAGGATTATTTTCCAAACATTTTCGAACCCGAGTTATACATTTCATCATAATATACAGGCATATGTTGATTATATCTATTCTACAACATGGAAATGAAACTGCCTTAAGCAATAATCTGATATGGAAATGTGTAAATTAGGATGTTACTTTGCACGCGTATACGTTTACATTGCGGTGCCCCATTTTCATTTCACCACCAAGCCGATATCACAGTTGATGTCCTAGTTCTAGACACTGCAGTCGATGGTCATGTCGTGCTAGAGCTTATAACATGGATGTATAGGTGGAACGTTTAGATATGTGCATGCAAGTGTGTACTTTCGTTCGACAAAACGAATTCGCTCAAGAACAATTACACAAGACCCATCTTTTACACTTTCAAAACGGTGATCTGTTACATTGGTCCACATGAAATATTAACAAAACTGTCGGCGATACTTTCACAACAATCGCTACGGTACCTGGAAAACTCGGGACGCGTTCTTTCCTGGAGGGGTAGTACAGATATGTTATCTTGGTAAAATACAAGTCACTTGCATCCGTCTCTGCTAGGGAGATTTCTCTCTCATGAATTCGGCAGTGTCGGAGTAGTTAACAAGAGGTTCATGGTTCGACCCCTAGCGGAGGAATACAAATAATGTCCTCTGTTAAAGTAATAGGTTTGATCACCCATATGAGTGCCTCTTTTGATTAGTCTGCCCTTACAGTGTGTTATCGCCATAGGCATGTATTTACATTAAACACTGATAACAGCGACAAGAAACTTCATATGACTGTACACACAAGAACAAGCACATATATATGCTCACCTGTAGTACGGGTTCACTAAATGGAATGCACATCTTTGCTTTGTAGGTCAGCATGTATTTCGCCATGTCAGGTAGAGATTTATACTTGTATGTACAAACGAAGTCCATATATACACAAGTGTATGTTTCGTGTTCGCTGACATGTCAATTATTTCCTACTTCAACAGGGGGACGTCATAATTCTACGCATTTTTTTTAAAGATCAGTATCAATAAACAGTCACTGAATTAAATCTCCGTTAACCTACGTGTATATTATTGTTGGGATTTCCCTGCTATTCCTCTCGCAAAACGGTGCGAATACTGTACCAACTAAAAAGGAAGCAGACCAGTATTGTCAAACACTTACGGATATCGAAAACACGTACAGTGACATGAGAATTGTTTACAGCTATATTTAGACCTAAACTAAGGTGTTCAGTGTAATTTTACATGTTTTATGGGTTTAGATCGTCTTACGGATTTTATTTTTACCGAAAGTCGATCTAAACCCCTAAAACATGTAAAATTACTCTGAACACCTTAGTTTAGGTCCAAATATAGCTGTAACAAATTCGCAGGTCCCATGATCGGAGTGTACTTACGGGAAATAGGACGATAGCAGACCCGTCCACAGATCTCGTCCCGGCAGCACTGAGGCAGTGATCATGAACTTCTGTGTACTTGTGTGGACACCTTTGGACTATGTTATCAACTCATTTATGCAGACTAATCGCTAGACAACTACCTGTCCGTTAAAGAAAGGATTGCAACTCGTGAAAGGTCGTAAAACTGTATATAAAAGGTTAGGACCTCAAGCTATATATTTCCTACAGTGGTCGTGTAAGATATAATCAAGTATCAGCTACATGTATATAGCTGTCTGATTCAGTGGATTATATTGATCACGATATGGCGAGTGAATAAAACTTCCTATTTCCCTTCTTCTGAGCCTCTCTGGAAAAAATATGCAAGATCTCCGCACCCGAGTTCTAAGTGACTGAAGCAGATGACAAGGTTGTGGCGTCAACTCCTGGCCATCTTTACTGATATATTACCAATTAGTTTAAATCTGTACAATAAACCCATCCTTGTTAATTAATCGCGAGTTTGGTTTGGTTCGATTTCTTTGTGCTTTACGTCCTATTAACAGCTATGGTCATTTAAGGACGTGCAAGGTTTTGGTGGTGGAGGAAAACCGGAGTCCCCGGAGAAAACCCACCGACCCACGTAGGTCTCGAACCCGCGACC